AAACAGCCTTAACAGCCTGCCAATAATCAATGTTGATAACCAAATTCGACCTAAAATAGGCCTGCACAAAAGCTGCCCTTTGATAAAAGCGTCATTACAACAATATTTAGCTTCCGCGCTATTGTTTTAGGTCAAAATAGCATTTTGCGGAGATTCTCTACTGATCTCGTAAACCATTCTTGAAATAAATGTTTACAGCTTCTTTTACAAAATTGCTTCGCAGATACAGAACACAGATTTGGAACCAGCTTTCAAACTGCATCTGACAGTGCGCATCAATTTTTAAATCGTCACTTTAAGTATCGTTGTAAGTAAAATTTAAGTAATCCGAAATATCCAACCGACTTATTAGAGCGTGAAGAGAAAGAGAAAGGTTCACATTCCATAAGGAATTCATCAATCTTCCCGATAAAGACATCGTGCTGGTATGAGAGCTGAACTACTTTATCAAACATTTTCGTAATCCTGGTTGCTCCAACCATGATTGTTTATGACCGTGAACATCCTCGTACCAAATTCCGCGTATCCATTGCTTGCTCTAGTATTGAGTTGACAGCTTTTCATTCAAACAGATAAGCTTCGCGAAGAGTTCGCAGCTCCGCGATGGTCTACCGTCCCAATGGCGCGGGGGTGACTCGAGGTGTCGAACTGCGAAATACAGCGGAGGTTTATCCTCCAGCCAGGCTCCCAAGCTGAGAAAAAGTTCGACGTTCCCAGCTCCTCGGATGCCCAGCTAAAACTAGGCCATGCCAGAAGCCCCACCCTCTGGCTGATTCAGTCGCTAGGTGATTCCCCAATCTAAATAGGTCAGAGGTGAAAGGTTAGCAAGCCTAGTAAGGCTTATAAGTTTGGGGAAAGATCCTATCGTACAGCATGTAGAAGGAAAAGAAGCCCTAAACACTGGATCACATCTCCTTCGTCAGATGTCGTCAAGGCCAGTGTGTTGCACAGGACGCCATGGATTTTGGACCTAAAACACACGTCAAGAACTCGCCATGGAGATTTCTCATGCTCTGCACCTACAACGCCAGGACAGTCTCCACCAACGCCGATCTTTACGCCCTTCTCGACTGCAGGGCGCGTCAACTATCACGTAATCGCCTTGCAGGAAACAAAGTCCAGGAAGGCGGACGTGAGGCAGTGATGGCACACTCATCATTCGTGATGAGAAAGTTCCACAGAACATTGGAGGCGTTGGATTTGTCGTACACCCTGTTGTCCATCTTGTCGATTTGCATGAAATCCTATACCCCATCTGCCTATCCTTCGACCCCGTGCTCTGCATCAGAACACCATCACTATCATCAACTGCGGAGGACGTGCAGGAGGTCCCAAAGACATGCCGCCTATCCCCGGAGGTAACAATTAGAGGTGCGAGCCATCTTGGATGGATCTAGCAACTTTTCAAATCGGCTTACGTCAGTCTGTACCGCAATCACAACAAATGAACGCTTTAG